ATATATATATATATATCTTTTAATGTTATATATAATTCAAATATGTATTTATTTTAATTTCTCCTGTCTCTACAAATTATAATAAATTGCAATTTTATCAATTACTTATACACCATATATTGTTTATAATTAAATAAATTCATATAAAAAATAAATATCTTATGTATTATTATCGACATGAGATGTTGTATTTATATTTACTTTATAAAAGTTAATGATGTATGTACGCTGTATCTTATCTTATCTTATCAATACTATTGTGCTAAAGATCAATGATTCTTTTATAAATATCATTAAAAAAGGCAAAAAAAAAATAAATTGTATAACACACACACACATATTCTTCGTTTGTATAATTTAAATATCAGTGTACAATAGAATATCAGATTGATCTTTCCAATTTTGATACTGACCTAAAGTAGAAGTTTTAGACAAAAATTATTCTCTTTTTAAAGATCTATATCAAAAAATGATATTTGTCATTGGTTGAAAAAAATTCAATGTTATATTATAAATAATTTTTCATAAATAAAAAACCAATGTTTTTTATTATCTAGTGTCAACATTTTAATTGCCAATATGTATTTCTCTGGTAACGTAAGTAAACAATGTAATTCTCTGCGTCATTTTTTTCTTTCTTAAATCACAACTGTGTCAAGAATATTTCTTTTTTAAATATTATAACAAGTTGATAAATCTTTTTCTTAATAATATTTAAATATATTCGTTTATGGCATTCGAACTACGTATCAGAAAATTATAAAAATTATAGCCAGTTGAATAAACGAGATTGTATTTTTTTTATTTTGTATTTACAAGAAATTTAAATTTATTAATTTCAAACAATACCAAAATTCTACCGTATATCACATTAAAAATTTCTTCAAACAATATAAATTTCTTACGACTTGTTATTAATATAATGTTTCATATAATTCTTTAAATCTGTACTTCTATCAAGATCATACTTTTGATCAGCATATCTTGGAGTTTTTGTTTTATCACAAATCATATCTTCGTCTGAAGGTATATCGTCAATAGTCAATTGAAAAAATTTATCTAACGGACATGTATCCTCGCAACCTGGAAGCCGAAGTACTTTAAGTTCCGGTGGGATTCCCAGGTAATATAATATCTATAAATAAAATCAAATAAAATTTGTAAAGAAAGTTTGTAGATTACGAAAGTTACATGGATAAATAATTCATTACTTTATATGCACTTTAAAGCACAAAAAAAAGTAGACATATAAGATATAGTATTTAAAAAATATAATCAAAATAATAATAATATATAAATATCACATACTCTGACATAATATATCTCTTCTTTGTACAAAAGTTCCATAAAAATGCTACTGGAAAATTCAGGATAATGTTGTTCATATAGATTCGAATTAAACAATAAACTAATAATATTTATTTCGTGACCACTATATAAAAACAATTTTGTTTCTTTTTCTAAAGTACCATTTACATATCCAATCATGTTCTTTATAAATTCTTTAAGCATGGCTCCTATAGAAAAAGAAAAGATAATTTAATAAAATACATGATACGAATGTGAAAATGTAGAATGATATTAATTTATCATTAAATGTTATACCTCCGTATAATTTTCTTAATGATTTATTATAATTTCCTATTTTTATACCAAAAAGAGCAGCATCATAAAGTCTACCGTTTGGAAAGAATGGTTTCGTCCAAGCAGGTAAAGAAAGGCCTGTATAATACTGTATCATTAATGTTTCATAGAGATGGGTAAAATGCAAAGGAGTACTAATATTGTGTCCAGTATATTTAGTGAGTTCAATGGCCAAGTCTTTGTACCGTTCACTTTCTTTTTTAAATTCAGAAGATTCCAACACTTTGTTGTATTCGTCCAAATATCTGCAAACGATTAAAAATACATTTTACTTAATACTACATTTTAATCTTAGTAATAACAAATGAGAATATAACTATGAGAACATTATTTTATTATCATATTGATAAAAATAAGAGTAAAAAAATAATAATAATAATAATAATAATAAATACCGAGGACACTCGTCTGCGAGAAAAAGATTATCATTGACTCTTGAATTATATTTCGTAGGAATTGGTTGCCACAATAATTTAGGATTCCATATTTGAATACCTTTAGCTGGGAAAAGTCCTGCTAGGACGAGTTGTAAAGATGCTTTTGTTCTATCCAAATCAGAACTATAAGCTTCGATCATTTTTGGAATATACACAGTATCCAAATAATTGTCGTATCTTTTTCGAAGAAATTCACCTAATTTAAATACTCGTAGCTTACCATTCTAAAAATTACATAATTGCTAATGACTTAAACGTTTTTCGTTAAAGCAATGAAACAAAAATTAACAATATTTTTATTAGAAATAAATTATCAAGTAAGAATAAAACATAATGTACGTTTGTTAACTGTCCTTTACCCATCGGATAGAAACTATAATTTAAATAAGGATCATTTGGATATTGTTCACCTAAAGTGTCGTCAAGCGTTCGATCTCCATGTCTAAATATCTGTTAATTAAAACAAGATAAGGTATAAATATACTTATGTAATCGGGGAATTACTAAATTAAAAAAAAAACAACACAAATTTAAAATATTTTTCACTTACTACATTTAATAATTTCAATTCGAAATTGTTATCTTCGGATGCATAAATGAATGCCACCATAGCACTAATAATTAAGACAATCGAATATCTGATGGTGTATAGATTAAAAATCATTTTTGCACAAGTAGATTACAATTAATTAAGTTAGATTTTTAAACACTCCGATATTCGTGTGATGAATTTTCACGAAATAAAGATATTTGTAAAGTTTATATGAAAATTGTGTCTTTTGAAACAATGAAAAAGATTTTTTCGAATTTCTTTTCGACCTAACGTTTTTTCTACTATATAAAAGCTAATTATCTATGTAAACATCTTATCTTATCATTATTATCGTTCTTAATAATGATATAATATTATTTGCATATTGTGGGGGATAATTTTCGTAAGCAATTTTTAACACAAAAGAAATTCAAAAGACACAAAATTATCTTGATGTACAACGCTATTAGAAAATAATAATATTCAATGAGTAACTTCAATTTATTTCTAATAATTGTTTATTATTTTTAAATAATTATATTGTTAAAAAAAAATCCTCTTCGTTTCAGATAAAATATTATACAGATATTTATGAAGAAAATGTTATTCTAAAATTTCCGAAGTGTTCTAAAATTTGGCCCTTAAACGTCTTTTAAAAAATTATTTATTTCTTTTATTTAATATTAATCAACGAAGATTCGTTATGTAAATAGACAGATGATTCCTTCTATACAAATATAATTTCTAAAACACAAGTAAAATACTATATTACTTTTAATATTAATAATTATTATATACAAATAATTTTTATTATATATCATTTATTATATATAAGATACATATTATTAAATATATATCTTAATGTTATATAAATAATTTAAATAAATATACATTTTCAATTTCTCCTATTTCTACAAAAATAACAAACTGAAATTTTATCAACTATTTAATCACCATATACTGTTTATTATTAAATTCATATACAAAAATAAATATCTTATGTAATCAACATAAGATATAGTTGGCGTGATTTTTCGGCTAGCAATGGAATATCATATATATGATTTATTGTAAATACTTCTAAACTATTTATCCATTTTTCTATGCACTTCTCCTTTTTTGTATTCTTATTACAGACTTGATCTGTTTTCCATTGCTTTCGCCAAAGTTTTATTACTGGTACTATGATATTGTCTTCAGTATCATTTTTATTACTGAGAATGATAATTTTATATTTTCGCAAACAAATATTTAAAGCATATAAAATAAGATGTATTTTATTAATTACATTATGAATACCATGTAGTCTGTTTTCAAACATATCCGATAAAGTAATATTAAAGTAATCTAATTTTTTTATAAGAAAATCAATGATCTCATAACAAATATATTCAGAATTACAAAATTCCAAGATAATAGATATGTGATATATTTGCAATGTCATCTAAAAGAATAAATTACATATTTATAGATTTTTTGTAAAAAAAAAAACAGAATAATGTGCATATGACAATAATACAAAAATTCTAATTAATTTACCTTATTAAAATTTGTTACTTGACATATTTCTTCGAATACATCTTGTATTGCCTGTACAACTATTCGACTACATATATCAGATTTCATTTCTAATCTAAAAATATTTGAAAATTTTAATATTGCATCTAGTGCTTCTTTTTCTAATGTATCAATCCAACATTTTCTTTTCAAATAATCTTTAACTATGCTCTGATCTTTGAAAGCCCTTAAAATTATTTCTATTGATTTAATGACAACATCATTCGTTTCCAATGATTTAAGAGTAAAATTTACCCATCCGGTTGAAATACTTCTTTTTATATTCTTTAATCTTTTTCTCGGTATATCTTTTATTTCTTTTTTCCGTTTCTTCTGTAAACAGTTATTACGTATTCCTTCATCGATATTGTTAAAAAAATTAATGGAATCTTGATCGATATTTAAAGTATCATATGCACTATCTTGTTTATCAGAAATATTGCTTTCATTGTGATTCAAAGAATCATTTTCTAAACTAATTAAATCCGGTGTTATGAAATTTTCTTGATATGTATCTTCCACATTTTCAGAATTTATTGTCAATTCATCATCTGATTCTGGAATGATCCAATTTGGAGGCATATATTTATCCATTGTGCATAAATTATTCCATCTTTGAGGTGTTAAAGGATCTGATAGATTTAGCGTATCATTTATATTTGTACAATTTTCTTTCTCTTTATACAATTCTTTATAATTTTGTCCATTGAAGTCGTACGAATATTTATAAGATTTAGAATTTAATGAGACCGTATTATTTAATTTTTTAATTGAAGTATCAGGACTATTACAGATTATTTTCTTCTTACTATTTCCTTGCAATTTGGAAAAGGATAAATCTATAATATATTTATGTTTTTATTATTTCACAGAGAAATTTGCTATTTAAAATAAATAAAAAGAATAGACAAACGAGATAAAATACCATAAATAATTAAAATATTACCATTTATATGTGATCGAGATTTGACGTCACATTTAAGAACCTTATTAAATACATTAGATATCAAATTGTATTCTTCTAGAGGAATTTCATGCATCCTTGTCAGAATTGATTTCAACCAAACTATTGCTTGAAGGAAATTAAAATCTTCTTTGCAGTTTTCCAACGGACTTATGGTTTTATTGTCTCCAGGTTTCATCAATATATTCGGTATTTCATAAATGTGTTTACAATAAGAACAAATTGAATTTAATGGATCATTTTTATCTACGCACAATTGTTTTTCCAATTTTAATATGTTTAATTCTGTTAATAAGTCTTCTAATACGGGTGAATATACTTGTTCATCTACGTGTGCAACACTAAAATAAGTGCTATCTAAAAAAAATAATATATTATTTTAAAAGAATATAGATTTTTGAAAATATTACATGTAATAATACACATAATAATATTCTTATTTATATAATTTACCAGAATCATATGAGTTTTGATTTACATCATAACTTTGTATCTGTCCTAAAGCTTCTAAAATTTTATTTCTGGATTTATCATGTTCCTCATCCAATTCATCTCTCTACGATTACAATATTATTAAAGTCCTTTTTTTTATAGTTTTTAATTATTATATTATATATTTAAAAAGAAAAAATTAACAAATGTACCTTATTTATAATTGTTTCTGTTAAAATCTTTGCTTTTCGTTTCATTTTCTTTCATATTACCTTTGTACGTATATCAATTAAAATAAATGCATAGTATTAATCTCTATGCGACAATAAATAAATTATATAATAAAACTATATATACTTCTTTTTCTACATAAATTTAATTATGTTATTTTTACACACATTACGTATAACTCACAATACCTTTATGCAATTAAAATTACCCTCCATATATTTCTTATCAATGATACCACCCCGAATATAAAAAAATAAAATTTAAATATATTTTTTCTAAGAGTTGGTTACCCTGTTTGAAGCCTAAATTATAACCTTTCTAATTCCAATTCTATTTAACTGATTACATCGGTGCATGATCCAATATTATTTAAAAAAACGATAACGTTATAAACATTTTAATTTTGATTTTATATAGGACCAATTTTATTTGCAATATAACAAAATGAATTCATTATCTCCTAATTCATTAACAGGAGCGCAAAAAAGTGAATTAATGGAACAGGTTAAACAGAAAATTGCTGTTGCCAATGCACAAGAATTATTAACGGTAGAATTATTGTACAATATTATATTTCTTTTTGTATCTGAACAAAAAAAAATGGTATTTAAATAAAAAAAATATAAATTTGTTTAAATTGTTTCCAGAAAATGATTGAAAAATGTTTTAAGAAATGTGTTATCAAACCAGGTACATCATTAGATAGTACCGAACAGGTAAAGATATACATGATTTTATCATCTATAAAAATGATTTCTAAATGTTATTTTTTATAGATATTATTAATTAATTCTTTTTGTTTATGAATAATAAGACTTGAATTTTATTTAATTTTATCAATTAATAACTAGTTTCAGTCATAATTCTCAATATTTTATATATACAATCAAATATAATTATATCATACTTCATATCTCATATTAAAATTAATATTGTAGATGTTAAGAGGTCGAAACAATTAATTCCAATTTCTGAATTGTTGTACAATTTTAGTGTCAAACCACTCGCAATTGATACTTAAATTTCTATATTTAAAATAAATAAGCTTAATGAGAATTAAATGAAAACAATTTTTTATAATCGTTCAATAATAAATGATACGACAATGTACATTACTTTATCAAATTTTTCTGCTTTTCGTTGAAACGTACGATTCATTTAATGATTAATATCTATAAGGAATATTTCTTAATTTTATATCACTAATTAAAAATGTATTATTTACAATATTTCAGAAATGTGTGGCAATGTGCATGGACAGATATATGGATACATTTCATCTTGTATTTAAAGCATATAGCAATCGTTTGCAACGAGAACGCAATAGAATGTAAATATATGATACAATATAAATAAATTGTTTTTTTGTTGTGTACATTATAGCTCATTAAATAATTGATGAACTAAAAAATCTATACATTTGTATAAAATTTCTAAATAAAAATAATATAATGTTCTCTTCTTTATAAAAGGTATATAATTTTTGTAATATATAAATAAATTCACTTTACTCTTCCAGTAATTTTTATATAAAATCTATAAAACTTTTGTACCTCAAAATATTAAAATAGATTAAATTTTAATATAATAAATTTCAATGTTGTTCAATTAATTTGATTTATCATTATATTTCCTTTCTGCAATGGTGCAATTTTTTCCTTTAAAATTTTTTAATACTATTCTAAATAAAGGAGATATTTAGGTGATCCCATTTAATTGAGACATTCCGTATATATAATATAATATACCAAAGAAAATGTATGTCAATTAATATAAGTAGACAAATTTTCAATATGTATATTGGAAAGGTATTAAACAAAACATCTAACAGTTGCAAAAGAGAAAAATTTTTATAAAATAAATAACATATACATGAGTATCGTTACATCATAGTTGAAAATCATAAATAAGTAACATAGGTGTTTTGTAAAATCCACAATTCCACAGTATCTATTTGCATTGTTTATAATTAACCATACACACTAAAAGGCACAATATAGCTACCAATATTTCAACGTGGTTACAAGATGATCATCTGTTATTACATAAGATATAATATGATACATATATATATGTAATATATGTATATATATTAATACTTTACTTTATGAACTTTAAGATTGTGGATTGTGAATAATTATTTCAAATAAACGTAGAATAATTTGTTTAAACAAAATATTGTCATATGCATATGTGAATCTGATACATTAATGTACATACACAAAATGGTC